TGCATCATGTCATTCCCCTGGCATTAGACTGCATATATCTTCTCACTACTCGGCGCGCACAACCTGTTGTCCTGGTGTCTGTTTTTTCAAACACCAATCCATCGGCCATCCTATAGTTTGGTTCTTCGTGAGGTGCAATCTTCACCTTGCGGATGATCTCACTATAGACTTTATCTTCGATATAAGCATCTCTAATTTTCTGCTGTAGTTCGGCACCTGCGTCTAGATAGCTCCAAAAAACTTTGCGCGTCGACGACGACGTTGTACTTGACTTTGACAGGCTTGAGTCCCGAGTTGAACTCATCGATCTCAATGGCCCACCTAGGTAACTTCCGGGCCTGAATCTTTAGCCAATGCAAGGTCTTATGGTCGAAATAGACCTTGAAGTGTCGTCCTAGCAAATAGTGCTTCCAATGGGCTAGAACCTCTCTTAAGGCGAATAATTCCCGCTCATAGGTTGATGCAACAAACTTCTCACACGAAAGCCTCCACGACATGAACTCCACTAACCTATATCCATTGTTGTCATTTTGTTGGACTGTGCCAATGTCGTATTGACTTGCGTTCGTAGTGACAATAAATGGGAGTGACGGATCAACTTTTTTCAAGACAGGGTACTCTATCAAACATTTCTCTAACTTCTTGAAAGCGGACATCCAGTCATTGTCCCAATTCCAAACAGCTTCCTTTTGCAGCAGCCTGCGTACAAGTGCAGCGATCTTAGTGAAGTTCCGCACAAACTTCCTATAATAATTGGCGAGACCGAGGAATGACTGCACTTCAATCAACGTGTGTGGGGTTTGCCAATCTCTAATTGCTGCAATTTTCGCGTCTACCGGTCTACCACCATCTCCGTCTACAACATGGCTTGGATACAAGACTTCGCATTTCTCCCATTCACCCTTCTTGGGGTTCAACTTGAACCTAGCCTCACGAAGCTTGCTAAAATTCAGTTAAAGGTGCTCTTGATACTCCTCAAGAGTCTTACTAAAAATCAATATATCGTCTAAATGTACTAAGACGAACTTATCCAACCATTCTCTAAACATATCATTCATGCATCTCTGGAACGTGGACAGGGGCATTGGTCAGCCCAAACGACAAGACCACAAACTCATAGTGGCTATATCTAGTCCTGAATGTTGTCTTGTGCTGATCTTTGAGTTGTACCTCTATCTGATGGTACCCCGATTTCAAGTTTACCATGGAAAAGTACACGCATCCCTGCACCCTGTCTAACAAGTCATCTATCCTGGGCAACAACTCAGCATTCTTGACAGTTATGGCATTTAGACCTCTCTAGTCTATGCACATTCGCAGTTTGCCTTCCTTCTTAGGCACAAATTGGACAAGTGCCCCTTGGCTTAATCCACCCCTTCTCAATTAACTCATCTAACTGTTTTCTCTATTCCTCTAAACTCTTTACGAAACATCCTATAGATGGGGCCCTTGGGAGTCTGGCTACCAGATTCAATCTCGATCCAGTGCTTGATCTCTGCGGCTTGGGGCCTCTCCTACATCTGAGAACTCGTTCAGCAGATTTTGGGTTTGGGGCGGTACTAACTTCCTCCTCCTCACTAACAAGATCCTGCTTAACCACATGCCTAGCAAATGTGGGGCCACTCATGCAACACAACGAAAGGGTGGACTGGACTCCAAACTCATGAAAGAGCCTGATTTTCTTCTTCCCACATTGGGGACTGCGTAGCCAGCACTCATACTCGCCCATCTTCACATCGTCCTTCGTGCTGATCTTCGAGTTGTACCTCTATTTGATGGTACCCCGATTTCAACTCTATCTTGGAAAAGTACATGCATCGTTGCACCCTATCTAACAAGTTATCTATCCTGGGCAACAACTCAGCATTCTTGACAGTTATAGCATTTTTACCTCTCTAGTCTATGCACATTCGCCGCTCGCCTTCCTTCCTAGGCACAAATTGGACCCGTGCCCCATAGGGCGAGTCACTTGGCTTAATCCACCCCTTCTCAATTAACTACCAAACAATAGAAATATCTAGCTGTTTTCTCTATTCCTCTAACTCTTTGGGAAACATCATATAGATCGGGCCCTTGGGAGTCTTGCTACCAGATTCAATGCTTGATCTCTACCGCTTGGGGTCTCTCCCACACCTGCAAACTCATTCAACAGATTTTGGGTTTGGGGCGGTACTAACTCTTCCTCCTCACTAACAAGATCCTGCTTAACCACATGCCTAGCAAATGCGGGGGCACTCATGCAACACAACAAAAGGGTGGACTGGACTCCAGACTCATGAAAGACCTTGATTTTCTTCTTCCCACCTTGGGGACTGGGTAGTCTCCCATCTTCACATCGTCCTTCGCGGCCTCCCACCAATCTCTCCCTAACAAAATGTCAAACGGTAGACTATCCTCCACTAGAAAGGTCAGAGAGTGCAGCACTTTTTCACTCTTCTTATCCTCTCCCTCCAACCGAAAGTATGCCTTCCCCCCCTTGACGAACTCATACACTCTCATGCTCTATTATCGATCGGTTTCCTTACTACTGGCTCCTCCAATTTCTGCACTTTCATCCCGAGATGCAGTTTCTTCAATCCTTTTCTACTAACAAAACTACGTGTTGAACCACAGTCCACTAATCAGCTAAAATTAATCGTCCTTTAGACCTCTTCTTCATCTCAGCCCAAGCTTTGCAGCGGGTGATCAATTCGTCGCCAGTACCTGTGATGGACCCACCTAGAGAGATCCTAACACAAACGGTCTATGGACAGTCCACTAGGTGGGGGGAAACATCAGCCTTTGCCATTGGGGTCCTCTGGCAGGAAGTGCCTGCTTCAGCGCGCGCTTCTGCCTGTCTATCAAGGTCTGAGGCCCCAGTAGGAGCAGCCACGACTCCTACTGGCCATTCCCGTTTGGCGGTTGTCGGACCTCGGGACAAAAGGGAATGATGTGGTTGGGGTCTCCACATCTGAGACACCGCCTATCCCTCATCCTCCGACGCGAGAGAGATTTGGACATCTTCATCGCGATCCAGGGCCGCCCGAATGTCGAGGGTACCTACGTTGCCCTCTAGACCCCTCCCCACTGTCGCTGGACAGGGCATAGTTGCCCCCTCCCTCGCCTTGGTAGGCGAGGAATCCTGGGCCACCTTGCGGGATACCATAACCCGATCCTCCCGCTTGGAACCCCCCTCGGGCTCCAAACCTTCGGGTAGCCCGTCCCTATCCACCACCTCTTCCACCTTGGCCTCCTCTTACCTCAGCCTCCTCTTCCTTGCCCGCCCCCTTGGGCTGCTACAGTCACATAGTCGCCTCCTACAACTACTTGACCTCCCAAATTGCTGATTATACTCAACGTGACCATCGTCCACTTGTTCGAGAGGGATTTCCTCAGCACCTCCCCCCTTACACGTCATGAAGCGTTTGTCACCTGCTTGCACATTGCAAGAGATCATCCTGGCCTTCCACTTCTTTCCCCTCTCAATGTCCCTGAAGTAGTACAAGTTGGCCTGCGCCAAGAACCTCAATCGCTCTAGCGCCTGCTTACTAAAATCGGCATAATTCGGCGCCCCTTCCTCGGGCAGTGCCATAGCAAAGTGCTCAAGGACCTGCCAGGGTGTCACTCCATGGTCAGGCACTTGCAGCATGTCGTCCATGCAAGCCTTCAGGGCATGGATGCTCTTGCAGTTCCCTCTATGCACATCCAGAATCTCTTCTGTTGTGCCCCTCCCCCTCGTTTTCTCCTCGAACCACTTATACAAATCATCCAGGTAGGTGTCTAAGAGGGTGACACGCCATCCAAAAGGAGGCCCGCGCCAATTTGTTTGTGCTTTAGCACGCAGCGCGTTTCCAGCCCCGAAGAAAAGTGCCTCGGAAGTACTAGCGGTTTAACATTCAACGCCACAGCACAACACATAAATCAGCAACTCAGCATGGCTGCACTCACACAACAAGGAGGCCACAGTCCACACATCTTAGGATTCAACAACACACAACTCAGTAATCAGAAACCCAGGATAACTCGACTAACACCTAGAGGAGGCCGCAATCCATGCCTATCAAGATTTAACAACACAGCTGAGGAAGCCAGAATCAGTAATCCTAGACAACTACCATCTTCACCCGAATGGAACGCCCGATCATTATCGTTGCATCTGGACTCCAAATTGTGCCAAATACAGCTATAATGAAGGGAGTAGACTTAAGAGATAACCACTCTCCCTACCTACCATCCTGCAAAACCACAGGCAAGGGAACAGGCTTGGAAGAATCGGCACTGTCAAATGACTTGAGAGCTGTAAAATAAGTGGGAGCTTTACCGCGTAAGTGAAATACCACTTCTTTTAACGTCTTCCTTCCTTTTTTTTTGGGACCATTTCTCGATTTGTGTGCGTCATCCTGGTGCAGGGGCCATGCTAATCTTCTCTGTATCTTTACTATCATTCCAATTGTAACGGATGTCCGGAAGGCCACATTTAACGCCATTTTAATTATTAGGAAAAGAGAAAAGATGTGCCTTGAGGAGGCCACACTCCTCACATATCAAGATTCAATAACACGCAACTTGGAGAACGGTTATCAGCACCTCAGAATAACTGGATTAACGCCTTGAGGGAGGTCACGGTTCCCACATGTCAAGGAACAACTCAGCTCAGCAACAAACAATAACTCGACTCACTCCTTGAGGAGGCCACAGCCCCCATATGTCAAGAGCCAAAAATGCACATCTCAGAAAACAGCAACTCTGGAAATGAGACACGCCTTGAGGAAGACCGAGTCCCCACAGTAATCCCGCTGCGAGATTGATTGCTTAGCACTATTTCGATAGATCACACTTCAGGAGACGTAAAAGTTACAAAGATGAAATGAAAAAATTGTTGTTTAACTGCTGGTACACCACTTAGTTTTGAAAACAAGCATAGAAAACATTCATAAATTATTTCAACAAAACAAGCATTGTGTACTAAACGACCTCCATGGTTAAAGGTCTGATTATAATCTGTGCATCCCCATCCCTACCTGCTGGATTTCCCTAGCCCGCTTGAGCTCCTCCGTGAGAGCCTGCACGTTAACATGGGATTAAAACAACGTTATCACGGAAAAAATAGGTCCGTTCACATGTCCGAAAGTAAGATCAAACAGAGTCTTCACTATGCTATTAACTGATAGAAATTTTAATACCACATTTTTTTATCCTGCAGGAGGAAGAGATCCTGTTTTATTTCAACATCTGTTTTCGTTCTTTGGTCGATATGGCCACCTTTTTTATGTGACCACAGTGGCTTTCAGAAAAGATACATGCCCCGAACAGTGGATTATTAGAGCAGTACTGGAATAATAATTGAAGCTGGGCAGGCCTACCGAGCCGAAAATTGTCCTTTTCCCCCCTTCCCAATGGGCGTTACCCACAATAGTTTTGTATCCACGAGGATTTGAACTCGTCAGTTGTTTATCAACACTCACATCCAGTCACATGTGCTTATACTTCAGCAGCAGGATGCTGAGAAGCATTAAATGTCAACCGACTTTCCTGAAGGGAAAAAAAAGCCTCTTTTGCCCCTGTTGTAATGAACCAAGTCTGGAAGATAACTCAGCGCTGAATACTGTCACCAACAATCAAGAAATGTGATCCATGATACAATGTCTTGTAACCAGTAGACGAAGAGAGGCGAGGGACACAATTTAGAGGGTGGACGAGTATGTATCCCCTCTCTCAATCAATCGATCCACAGATCCCTATCTCCCTCCTTGTCGCGTCCGACTCAGCAATGAAGACAGTGTGGCAAATGCCACGTCAGCAATAGAGACAGTGTGGCATGCGCCACGTCAGCAAGTAGACGGGGTGGCAGATGCCACATCACCAATGAAGACAGCTGGCACCAGGACAGGAAGGCGCCAACACGTAGGCAGCAGTCTCGCGTCATCGTCCACAATGCCAGCATCCAGCCAGCGTGTTGCATACCGTAACGGTGCAGACCAGAACAAGAACCGACCTCTCTCACAAAGTACAAGATAGCGTAGCGGAAGACTTAGATGCCAATGATCCGAACAATCAATGTTGCAATGCAGCCCCAAACATACATCATCATCATCATTCCACGGTGTGAAGGGGCCTGGTGCTCACACAGGAAGACTGCGCCAGTCCCCAACCATACACAGACAAAGAAGAGGGGGGTTAAACGAAGAAGAGGGGAAGATGGGAATGTCATCAACACCAAGTCTTCGGGACAGGCCCCAAATAATCCCTCATCAAATGTCTGAATCCCAATGTCATCCAGTCCCAAAGTCACAACTCTCTTTCTCTCTCTCTCTCTCTCTGTTACATGCTGTACAGGCCCCAACCTGTTTCCCTACAGGGAAACTTCCAGGCTCTTGCCTGGAAGCTTCCTTCTGACAGGGCCTACAGGCCCCAGCCTGTTTCCCTACAGGGAAACTTCCAGGCTCTTGCCTAGAAGCTTCCGCAGGGTCTAGGCCAGGGAGGCATTGGCAAGAGCGGCCTCCTACGCATAGGGCATTGGCACGGCCAGCCTCCGGCACGGGCCAGCACTATAAAGGACTGGCCCGCCCTGCAGGAAAGAGGGCAGTTCGGCAGTTGTAGTCTTCMGGATTCGGGAGCAGCACTCTGGAGRGAGCGCTGCGTTAGAGTAGTAGTAGCGTTATCTTGTAGTCTTCAGCGCTGGGCGCAGTRGGTAGCTSTAGTCTCCAGCGCTGGGCGCCATAGCTAGGATAGTGGTAGAGAGAGAGAGAGAGAGCTTGGGCGGAGGCCAGGAGTACCTACCTGCAGCGCCGTTGCTCCAGCTTCGTCTTCGAGGTACCTGCAGCACAGCGCCACATCACAGGTTAGTACCTGGTTCRTAACAGTAAGAGAGAGAGKGTTCTTCTTCCTCTTCTWCTCAGTCCACCATCTCCTCCTCTCCCTCTCAACCCCTGACTTCACTGCAATTGCAGACTGCGAGAGAAGAGATACCGGGGTTGGTGATATCGGATCCAGACTCGACTTTTGGGGACTTCAGACATGGCAACGAGGGGTTATTTGGGATTGGTGACCAAGACTTGGTGTTAACGACACTCCCATCTCTCCCCCCTCCTTTCATCTGGTCCTTACCTCTTCGTCTGTGTATGT